TCCCCCCCCCCCCCGCAACCAGTCCTGCTGACCAGAAAGTGGGGTGTCCCCCCATGGCCAATCTCACTGCCTGGGGAGACCTCCACGATGGCCAATCATAACAGCCGCTTCTGGGAACAGCTGTAGTGATCAGCTGGCGCTTGCGGGGGGGGCACAAGCACTCCTGCCTGCCCCCCCTGCCCATCACCTAAGCAGCGAGTACAGCCAGTCAGGGGGTGCACATGCCCCCCCATGCATCGCCACTTGCACATTCACATGTAAACTGCTTGCTCCTGGCAATCAGACTTGTAGGATGAAGAGCGAACCCCCATCCCCTCCAGCCTCCAGGGCATCAACAGTTGTGCTTTCCCTAAGGACCCTTACCAAAAACCTCTTAAGAATGATTGTGTCCATGAGAATAGCTCTGTGGCTGGGTCTTAGCAAGGGCTGTAGAACTGAGCTCCTGCATCTACATGCTAAATCATAGCAGGGTTTGCCATTCACTGACCTGCTATTGTGATTTGATTTTTGTCCTAGGGCCAGATCACCCGAGGAGTCCGCTACACCCTGAATAAGAACAATGGGGACACCTGGGACGTGGCAGACAGCTCAGGAAACAGCATCAGTGCCCCTGGGATCTGCTTTATGATCCCCCCTCCAGACCCTGACTCCTTAGCACTCACTGACAAGTATGCACTGCCAATTCCCCTTTGCATGTTAGCCCTAGGAAGCTGTCCCTGCTGTAAATGGACCATTTCCTTCCAGGTGACCCTACAGCATGGGCTACAGCCATGTTCTGGCCACTTTCTGAACCAAAATGTTGTAACACCCTCAGGCCTCCAGCTTGGCTGGAAGGTGCTTCAGCAGTGCTTAATCTGAGTGCAGAGTCCAGCTTTGGAAGACCAGAGGCAGCAGCATTTTATTTTCCTTAGCACTGGTTCTTCCAAGACCCTGGGGCCTTTCCTTCCCAACCAATAAGTGCAGCAGGAAGCAATTAAATATGCTTGGCCCTCTTACTGCTTCTGGAAAACAGAAATGACATTGGCCTTCCATGCTAAGCTCTTTGTGAGCTGAGCCCAGAAAGGGCTCCAACAAGAGCTCAGTGGTGTTTATAAATGCAGGCAAGTACTGGGCAGATGCTGGGGCTGTTTAGATGCTGTAGAGCTCTGTGGGACTGTCTCATGTTCTACCCAAACCATCAAAGTCTCCACCTTGTGACTGCCACTCTTGGCTGCCAATTAAGGAGGAATGGGGTCTTTTCAGGGGGCATCAGCAAGGCGCTGTCCATGAAGGCAAGATTCCAAAAACTGGAAATTATACTGGCCTCCCTTGAAAACAGAGTGCAGCTGAGTAATGGCTTCATTCAGGGGTGGGGCATGCAAACACCATCCAGAGCCTTGTCCCTGAGAGATGTCCCTTGTTGCTAGGATGAAGACCTTGGTTGTGATGAAATGCACCTCCCCATGCAGTAGAGGCAACAGCTTAGTTAACACATAGGTGCCAGTTCTCCCAGTCACAGGCAGAGATGCTTATAACAGGCCAAGGAACAGGTATTAACCTCAGCATGTGCATGTTCTCCTTTGTAGCATTGCTGTTCAGTATGAGAATGTGAAACAGAAGACTACCAACAGCAAGAATGCTCTGCAGCAACGCTATGAGGGACTGAAGGCAGACAGTATTGGAGGTAGGTCCAAATACCAGTAGCTTTTGGACAAAGGCTTTGCAGAGGCTTGTGATCAGAAGCACCACAAGAGGGAGAGAGCTATAGCTCAGCGCAAACTGGTGGCAATAGGCTGTGCCAAGGCCCCCTGGCTTCTGTCACTTGGGTGATGGAGTGCTTGTGTGTTCTTGGGCAGAAGTGCATGTTTCTTTCCCTTCCTCTTGCAATAGGACAGTTTGGTCTGCAACCAGCTGCTTCCTTAGACTCTCAGTCAAGGCTACTGCTCAATGAAGAGCTTCCAGTATTCATTCCTGTTTTCCTTACACAAATAGAGCAAAGCAGCTGCAGCCACCATGAAACCATAAGCCTATATTCTTCTCTCAAGAGAATTACAGAGGTTGAACTGTTGTTGGAGGGTGCCTTCGTTTTTCTGTGGCTCATTTGTATGGTAGGTGTGACACTCCTAGCCCTGGATGTGGCCAGGTATGTCTTTGAGACACACTCCCAGGTGCTTTATGCCTTCATAGATGTCCTGCTCCAAAACCCATCCTTGCTGTCTTCTGCTTGAACACTGAAAATAGACCACGGTGCTCCGAAGGTTTCCTCCTTGACCTATGGAGTCTCAGGCTATGCCTGCCAAATGTAGGTCTTGCCAACTGCTAACAGAGGGGATTTTGCCAGCTAAAAGAATCACACCCTTGTCCGGGCATGCACTCCAGAAAGATGGATTTTCCCTCAAAATCCTTTTGGAAAAGAGGCCTGCTTGTATGTTCAAGTGCTGCTCTAAGATCACAGTTAACACTGACAAGAAGTGGGTAAAAAGGATAACAAAAGGATTTTAATAAAAAAAAACAAGCAGCAGCATAAAAGAAGAAATCAGTAACCATACACTGAGATACAGAGTTATGAGAACAAACAAATGGAAGGAAATATCAGAACAATAACCTATTTTTACCGTGCACCTTACATCAAAGGATGGAATTCCTATTCAGCTCAATGGGTCAGAAAGCAGCCTCTGACACTTCCATCAGAGCCTCTTGTAATTTCTCCTGCCAGGTTGCTTTACTCAGCCTGCTAGCTGAGGGACTCCAGTGTTTCCCTTGGCCCAGGAAAACTGAAGACTAACTTTGTTCTCAAGGCAAGGCTTAAGTATTATTTCTTATCTGGATACTTACATAACTCCCTCACTGGATTCTCAAAGAGCCCATAGTATGTGTGTAACCCTCCCCCCCCCACCAATTCTCTGGTTATGCATGTGTTAACCAGAGCAAACATCTTTCCTGATTTAATTAAGACAAGGAGAATATTTGCAGCCTTTCAGACACAAAGATTACTTATCCAATATCTTAAAGATGCTGTCTCTCACTTCATTTCCCCACTTTGAGAAATGTACTTCCAGTTCCCAGATACTATTTATGTTGGGGCTGTCCTTTTAAAAGGTAAATTCAGCATTGTCTGGAAGGGCAAGTTTTATGAGTCTCTTCCAGGTGCCAAAAAAACTCATTTCTCACCTGAAATCCATTATCAAATTGTGCAGTTGTAGCCTTAGTATAACATGAGACGTACACTTTATATCGAATACCACAGTGCGTGCAAACATAAGAACGATAAGGCTAAATACTACCTGTAGAGATTACACAGACTGTATCAGCAAAATCAAATTCAATAAAACAGGCATGATACCCCATGAGCCCCCCAGATCATAGTTTCATAGATTTAGGGTCGGAAGGGACCTAGTAGATCTTCTAGCCCGACCCCCCGCCAGGGCGGGAGAACAAAAAAAAACCCCAAAACAAAAACGGGACTCAAATGAGTCCAGCCAGGTAGGCATCCAGCCTCTTCTTAAAGACCCCCAGGGTAGGGGCCAGCACCACTTCCCTTGGAAGTTGGTTCCAGCTCCTAGCCGCCCTAACTGTGAAGTAGTTTTTGCGGATGTCCAATCTATACCTCCTCTCCATCAACTTGTGCCCATTACTCCTTGTTATGCCAGCGGGCGCTAGGGGAAACAGCGTCTCCCCCAAACCCTTCTGGTCCCCCCTAGTGAGTTTATAGACGGTCACCAGGTCCCCCCTCAGCCTTCTCTTGTGGAGGCTGAATAGGTTCAGGTCCCGCAGTCTCTCACTGTAGGGTCTGCCCTGTTGTCCCCGGATCATGTGGGTGGCCCTCCTCTGGACCCTCTCCATGTTGTCCACATCCCTCTTGAAATGGGGTGCACAGAACTGGACACAATACTCCAGCTGTGGCCTGACCAGCGTCGCATAGAGGGGGAGGATCACCTCCCCATAGTGGGGTCCATGACTGTTGGGACAGTACCCCACACCCCAGCATGGTGTATATGGTGAGGCAGTCTCTACCGTTGGCTTGCAATGTGCTGTAAAGCTGTAGAGGAAAGACCATGAAGCAGTGTCAAGAAGCAAACTGAAACCATCAGTCTGGGGTACAGATTCCAAACTGTCCCATTCAGGAAGCTGGATGTCAGGTAGCTGGAAGCAGGACCTTAGATCCATATCCTTGTGACAAAACCTTTGCAGAGTGCTAGGTTTGAGAGTAGCACCTGGTGGAACTGAAGAGGAAAGGGGAGGGGGGGAGGTTGTACCATTAATACTCTACCTGGTATATACAGCCTTCTCTTAGTGTTTGGGCCTAGCCCAACTTCTACTGCCCACACCAGCTAACCCAGTACCCTCTTGTTATCCAGATGCTGCATCCATACATGGGCGCCAGCTGCTAGCAGGGCTGGAGAAAATAAACAGCGACCTCGACAAACAGGAGAAGGCAATAACAGCAAACCTACGCCCCCCACTAGAGCAAAGTCGCACCGTGCAGGATAGTGCTGAGCGTTCAAAGGAGCTGAAGGTAATGGGGTAGAGAAGGTAGGGCAGGTACTTGCATATCAGACATGCTTCTGAAGAGTGGAGAGGGGCGGGGGGTTAGAATGGCTAAAGTGGCTTGTTCCAGAGGCCTGAACTGAAGCTTCACTCTGGGCTTGTGATGAAGGCTGTCCCCTCCCATGCCTTCACCAACTATTTGGGCAGGCATAATCAAAGATGGGTGGATGGGATTCTACTGGCCTTGTTCCCTTGTGCTTCCAGCTATAGACACTGGTGTGGCTCAACCACACTTGCATCATGGGCCATCTAGACAAACTATGACTAACCAAAAGTATGGTCTGTGCAGAGTGAACTGCATAACAGATTAGGTCCACAGCAGCTTTTGAGGGCAGAGGACTTAGGAGACAGTAAGCTTAAAAAAAAAAAAAAGCAGGGGGGAAGAGGAGAAAGGGGAAAGTATAGTGAAGTGGAAGGTACAAAGAGGAAGGAAGGGAGTGTGAGATGGGGGAAGGGGAGTTGAGGTAAACAGTCTGTCGTCACAAGGGAGGTCCTGAGGCCCTAATGAAGCTACTTCTGTAGTAGCCCCACTAGCTGAGGCTTCACATGCCAATTACTGCAGCAAATGCCATGAAGGAATTCCTGGCCATGGGCAAGTAACACCCAAAAACCAGCTAGAGCAGCATTTCTCAACCCATGGGTTGTGACCCAAAAGTGGGTCACAAGAATATATCAAAAGGGTTGTGAACAAACTTTAAAAATGGGTTTTCCTGCAAAGGAGAAAAACACAGGAAACCATTGCTGTTCCCTTGCAGCCTGGCAGAGCTCCAGCCTGTGAGAGGCTGCTTCAGGCCGGCCCCCAGTGCCCCACACATGAAGGGGCCTGGGGGTGGGGGGGCAGCAGGCCGGGAGTGAGGGGCACTGGGTCAGGACTGGCCACTGGTGTTTTCACATGTGTCATGGTAGAAAAAAGCTTGAGCACCACTGAGCTAGAGAATGGCTGGAGGCTCTTGCAGTCATTTTAATGTTAACTTATTCATCTGTGACCTGGCTGCCTATGCTCAGTGATGTGTTTACCTTGATAAAAGTCACCTATGTCTCCACATACTGAAAAAGAAATGAAAAGGCAGGAAAATGCCACTAATGCTAGGTGGAACTGCTCCCCCCATAAAGCTTAGCCCCAGCTTCCCAAAGCAAGGTTGCTTGTGTTTGGAGCTTGAACGCCACGTGACCCCAGAGCCTAGGGGAGCATGGCGAGCTCCGGCAGGCGGTGGTGGCAGTCAGTGGCAGGGCATGCTGGTGGTAAGCAGGGAGCTCCCGCAGGCAGCTGCAGAGCTTGGAGGTGGGGCGGGGGGGAAGGGGGTGACAAGCGCCAACCGGTGGTCAGCAACCACCCACAGGCGCCACCAGCAGTGTTGGTGGTGCCTTCTCATAGGAAGTACACTGCCATGCTCAGGGGGTGTACATGCACCCACATTCACCCCCTACATGTTGCCAATGGTTTGGAGTACTGCTTTTTACTGGGAACAGAGACCCTAGCCCTTCGTCTTGGCAGAAAATTCCATCCCCTCCATGGTGTCAAAATGCCAATAGCCAGCAAGTTGTTGTGGTTGGAACCACAAATGGATAGTCTGTAAGCGACTCAGGCTTACATTGGAGTCAGCAGAGAAGAGTAGCATGCTGGATGTGTAGCAAGTAAAGAGGATATATATTTTTGGAGGGTGAATTCAGGTCAAACAACTTCATTGTACTGCATTATTATACCAAAAAGTAATGCCTCTGTTAAAATATAATCCAGTTTGTCCCTGAATGCCCCTCCGCCAGAAGGACGGTACCAGTACCTTGTCCCAATGCATGGTGGTCTATGTGACAGTGATGTCTCCTCACCCATCTGGACCACAGGACATACTCTCACTCAAACATTCCTTCTGGCTCAAGGAAGCCAAGAATTGCTGGCTTGTTCATCCTGTGGTTGCAAGTGTTTCCTTCTCATTGCAGAACATCACTAACGAAGTTGACCAAATTGAGCCCGAGAAAACAAGGAAGATCCAGGAGTGTGAGACCTTTATTGAATCAGTTCCGAGCACTGGCAGTGCCGCTTTGGTGAGGAACAAGGTCAAGGAAACTAACAACAAGTATGACCGTGTGATCCAGCTCCTAAACGCTGCCCAGAAAAAGTAGGCCGTGGTTTGGAACAAATATAACTTAACCCTCTCAGGAGGTTGGGATTATGGGTATCTTGTAACATTCTCCCTCTTTACAGGGTTGATGTGGCCAATTGCCTCGAGAAGAGCCTCCAGCAAGGCAGAGACCTGCTATCTACCTATGAAAATAAACTGGTTATAGATGACACTGTACCAGAGGATGCAAGGGGCCTAGATTGGAAGACAGAAGAACTATTAGTAAGTGTTCTTTTGAGTGATTGGGCTACTTGTCTTACCTGGCAATGTGCTTGATATGAATGCGTGTGCACATGTACACACACACGAAAATGCAGGGACCAGCCCAAAAGCAGTAGGTTGAGAGAGGGCCTAACAAAGCTGAAGCAGAGCAGTAGACTTCGTGTGTACTGTACAGTTTCTGCCATCACAAAAGAGTAGGCAACTTTAACAGGTGGTGGTCCTGTTCAGGGATCCCAGCACAAAACACCCAGCATCTCCCTGCCACCTTGGTAAGCTCTTAATTTGGCAAGCCAAAACCCTAGTGTTGGCTGAGAACATGCCATTTGACTCAAGGCCTAAAACTGAACCCAGGATGACACATTAGCTTGGGGAGAACACACCTGTGCCGTGAAGGATAAGGATGGATCCCTTCTGTGGCATCAAATGACACTGTGGTGCCCTCTTCTGCGGTGCTTGACTCCCACTTTCCCTGGTCCCTCAGGGCTTTCCTTCCTACTCGCCTGCCATGCCTTCTTGTTATTGGTTTGTTTGTTTATTTTTTTTAAAAAAAAGATTGGGAAGCTCCCCGGGGCCCAGAGGGAATCCAGTCCAAGGCCAGGCTGCTCTCTGTGTAGTCTGCCATGGCTTTCTGGCTTTATTGGTGCCTTTGGACACCAGGTGCTGTAAGAGCTGTGTTTGTGGCCTCTAATCACACCTACAGCTATGCTCATGCCTTGCAGATGTTACCAGTTATAACCTCAGCAGGCAGCTTGCCCCAGTGCAGCGTTTGGCCCTCAGGCCTCAAAGCCTTTGTTTGGACTTTACAGCCTTCCTGGTTTTGCACCCCCCACCTTTCTCTAGCTAAGCCCCCTAGTCTAAGGCCTACTGTCCTGGACCTTGGCTCCTAGGTTCAGTCCTGTCCCTTGGTCTCGCCCTTCTTGTGCTTCAGGTCTCCTGCTCTTGCCCTTCTCGGGCCCCAGTCCTGGCCCTCTCCACCTCAGGCTGCCTTTATATCATCTTGCCTGGCTCACGCGTAAGCCATCTTAGCTTCTGCCTGCCTGTCCTGTGCCTGGCCCTGGCAGGGCTCCAAGCCTCCAGTGCCCTTAGGTACTCCTGTGGCACTTACCCTGCCCTGACAGGATCAATAATATGTCTCTCTGGCACCCTGAGGCCTCCTTGTCATCCCTTACAACCGCCACACCTGGTCCACCAGTATAAACTAGAGCATAAAGCAGTCACTTAAACAAAACATCCTGGCTCTGGGTAAACAAATTAAAAAAAAAACCCCAAGGTCGCTTTAACAAAAACCTCCTGCACTCTGGGTAAACACACTTCGGAGCAGCCCTTATCCCCCACGTTCCCACCTGCCGTTAGAGTGCTCCAGTGTCTGCAAGGGGTTCTTGGGCAGCCGCTCTCCCCAGAGAGCTCCAAGAGCTCAGCTCCCTGCAGGGCACTCTCTCTGCCTCCAAGGCATGTGGCTTCTCTACTTGGGATGCTCCCTGCCTGAGTCAGTGACTCACTAGCCCACACAGGTGTTCATCTTGAGGGCTAATGGACAGCTCAATCTTCCCTGCTGCAGTTTAGGTCGGCTGCATACAGCCCTGGTCTCAGCTGCTTATCTGCCGACATCCCAGGCTGGCGAACCACATTCTCTCCCTTTTTAGCAACAGAAGCATCTGGCTCCCTGTTGCATCCTGCCATCAGAACTGGCATTGCTCTTGTCAAGCTCAATAAAAAGGCTGAGAACTGAATAGCTTAGAGCCTGACATTCTCTTTTAGAGGTGGTCTCTTTAGAGCTCAGGGTCTTATGCTGAGACTTCTGTGGTGGCCTTTGGAGCTAGTGCACCAACAGAGACATGATTCAGCTCTCAAATACTGTAAGCTGGAAAAATTAAGAAGATAAGGGAATAACCAGAAAGAGGGCACTTTCCCCCCCTCCCTCTGAACAGACCAACCAGATGGCTACTTACTTAAAACTTAGCCTTTCACGTTGCATTTCTTCAGCCAGTGATCCAACAGCACCTACAGCATTCACACGTACTTTGCCATTATTTAACCCTCAACACTGCCACCAGGTACTGTTGGCACAGAAGGCCACCACCAGGCAAAGCATGAAAAATGTGGGAGATTACTTTGAATGCAACAGGGAGCGTGTTTTTCTTTTTTGCTTTGTTTCTATAGTGCAAACAGCTGGGCAGCCAGTTGGCACTTGGATCAAACTCTTCCCGTTAACCAGATTTCTTCCCAGCTGGTTTGGCCAGGTGATCTGTAGTGAAATTAATGTTTACCATCCCTCACCTTTCATAAGTCAAAATTGAGCAGCAGTTGCATTGAGTCATAAAGAATTCTGGGGTGGAAGGGCTAGAGGGGAAAGCTGTTGTGATGAGGAATACAATTAAAGCTGAAGCAGTAGCCAAGGCCAATTAGAGAAGTCTTTGGTGAAAACCTGGCATTTCTATATGAATTCTCTTCCCAGGCCATGGGCTCTGAGCTACAGTCCAAAAGGTCCGTGCTCAATGAGGCAGAGCAGAACTTACAAAAAGCAAAGACATGCTCCAGCACCCTCGCCAGCAGGTTCCAGGAGCATTGCCCTGACATCGAACGACAGGAAGCAGAGATCTACAAACTCAACCAGCGCTTCAGCAACCTCAGCAAGCAAATCGACCACAGGTGAAGCTCCAAGAGGGCTGACTGGGAGAAGGGCAGCCACATCAGTGTTAAAGATCCACAGCAAGTCCCTCATTCCCTACTGCACAGGTTTTTACCATGAGAATGTGAACAAAACCAAACCTGGAGGAAATTCAGTACCACTCATGTTAGACCCAAGAGTGGGCTTTTAAAAGAACTGCAGTTTCTGCTGCAAGAGCACAAAGATCTTTGTCTCTTCCATTACACTCCTGCTGCCCAATTCCCTCCTCCTCTCCCCAATCCCCACTATTTGCCCATTTCTGGATGATGCAGCATCCAGACTGGCCCCACCTCATTATGTGTTGTGATTTAATTGTTCGTACACTGTATTGTGCATGTCTTTGAATATAACTTTGCTTTTCCTTAAGGGAAAAGCTTTGAGCTGGCACAGTGTGTAGTGCTATGCCTATCAACAGCTGTATTGCATTGTGACCTCGGTTTTACCCTACCTCCAGGGCTAGTTATAGGATAGCTTGATAGGCTTCACCAGCAGACTGGGAACGCAGAGTTACTGCATCAGATGTTTTGTTAGTCACCCACACAGAGTGAAGCAGTATCTGAAACTGGAGAAAGAAAATAAAACACCCTCTGTTGTAAGGTGGACTGGAGAAAAGTGTGGTTCATTACTGCAGCTACTGCAGAAAAGGATGGCCTTTTGGGGAAGAACCAAGGCCCAGTTGTTGGGGGAAGAGGGAAAAGATTGAAATTACCTAAGACATTTTCAAGAACAAATAGGTTTGAGAGTATAAAAACTCCTTCCCCTTTACAGATCTCAGATGCTGCAAAAGGCAAAAACATCTTATTCTGACTACCGTGCAGGCTATGATGACATCACCCAGTTCCTTTCCAGCATTTCTAACTATGAGCCACAGGAGACTGACAACATTCAGCAAGTGGAGACTAAGTTGAAGAACCAAATGGTAACTCCTCACTGTGCTATAAGAGACTCTCATTTCACCTGCAGTCACCAAAACTAGTCCCCGTGGAGGTGCCAACCACCACCACCAATGGGTCTGATGGCACAGCAGAATTAATATGGCCTGGATTTGATAAATAAATGTTACTCGGCTATGTGGGAACAGAGGAGCATGGCCAGGGCCCCATCTGGACTCCAGCATTGTATTTAAAACAGAATTGTTGAGTGCTCTTGCACTCTACTCCTCAAGGGAAAGTCAGGGAGAAGAGAACCCCCGACCCCTCCCCCCAACAAGCCAGAAAGCAGGTGAGAAATGCATCCTCTCAAGTCATGTAAAGGGAACTGGGGAAATGAGAGAATCCAGAGTGGGCCCTGTTGGGACAACACAGAAAATAATAGAAAGGAGGCGGGGGGGGGGTTGCAGACGTGAGGCTCCCTTTATTTACAAGAGAAGACAACTTCTCTCTTTTATTTTTAAGTTTGTCTGTGTTTTTCCAGATGCTGCTGAATGACATTGCAGGCAAGGAGGAGGCTGTACAGAAAGTCTCTGCCAATGCCCAGCAGTACCAGCAAGCTGTGAAGGTAAGAAGCATGATTCCAGTACTGTGGGACTTTTCAGCCTAATAGCAACAGCAGCTGAAAGGAAACTACAGTGGTCCAAATGCCCAAGTAAAAGAACAATGGAGAAAAGGACAACTTAGGTCCAACCCCTGCCCAGTGGTCCGGCTGGTCATTTAATGTGCCTATTTTTAGAACACTTAGTGGAACTGTTACTGGGACAAAGGTCTTGCTATGTAGAGACCCTATCATCTTTCATTGCCTACTGAAGGAAGACAGAAGGGTAGCACAAGAAAAAAGCTCAGGTCCAGGTAGAAGTGGAGGGACATTACCTCCCCAGAGGATTATATTGTCATTTATCTTATGCAAGTGTTCTCCCCCAGGACTATGAGATAGAGGCAGAGAAGTTACGATCCATTCTTGACCTGGAAAATGGACGGAACGGTTACATGAGCAAGAGACCCAGACTCCAGTCCCCAGCTGCTAAAGTGAAAGAGGAGGTGAGTCAGCAGTGGCTTCTGGAGAGGCTAATGCAGGGTTGCTACTTTGAGGTGCAGTCCATTATGTGAGCAAGGATTTTAATGTTGATGACATCCACCACACAATGGGGGCAGGAATTCTTCAGCACCAGTCAACTTCTACCTGAGGCATCTTGAGATGAGTTAAGAGAGATCTCATGCTAGTACTTCCTACCAAATAAGCCTTAACACCAACGAGACTCTTAAGCAGAGGAGGATTTATAGGCAAAAAAATACTTTGTGAAACTACAACTATCACAAAGACTATGCAGGTTTTATGACACAAGCTACTTTGTGGACATACAACCTCTCCTTTGGCTCTCAGCTCATCCTTCATAATCTGTTGCACCAGGTGAGCAGTTGTCCACATGTGAACTGCATTCTTCATTTGTTATCACTCCTTCTATAAGCAAAGTAGAAGTGTGGTGGCTGCAGGGAAGGAAGCTATTTATCAGTGCACGGAGCTATTAGACAAATCTCCCCAAAGCTGTGAGATCACAGCAGCAAGGAAGTTTTGAAATAAATATATCCAGGGTGAACATGTAAGCTCCCCTTTTCTGCACAAGTCCCTGTGTCTTGATTCATGAAATCCTGATCAATTGTTCTGCCTGTGCTCTTTTCTGAATGCATTTGTCTCCTAGGAAGCAGTTCTGGCTGCTAAATTCACTGAAGTTAAGGCTGTCAATAAGCAAAGGCTGCAAAACCTGGAATTTGCTCAGAATCTCCTGAGACAGGTAAGGTATAAATTGCAGGACTGGATTTAGTCAGATGAAAGGCAAGGTTTGGCCTTTCAGTACATGCTTGCCCTGCAGCTTACAACTTTGTACAGAAGGAGGGGAAATCAAGCTTTCCATGTCATTGCAATGGATTTAGGGGTTTATATATACAGTAGTTGAAGTGACTTGATGAACTTCACTATGCTGAACCAATCTTGTTCCAACAGAATAATTAATGCATACGTATGATACACTGAACTGGAAATAGATCTAGCTAATGTGTTATACTGTGGGAAGAATTACTTAGCAGGAACTCAGTTTGAACCCATCTGTCAAGATAAATCTAGTCCACCCAGTAACCTCATCGCATTATTTGATGTGACAGCCGAGTAGCTCTAAACTTTTTCCCTTGCCAGGGCAACACCAGATTTCCTTTTCTATACAGCCACACCCCTTTACCACATAGCAATATCGGAAAGTTAGGTTGGTAGTGAGCCCTGCTTGAAAATCCATTGACTAGTTGTCTAGAAGCATACTTGCCAATATGCAACATTCTACAGTTTTCAATGGATCCCTCCCAACCCCCTTAATTCATTTTTGATATTCTCCTGTAGTTCTACCATCATGACAATGAAATTGGCACCAAACTAGTAACTGCTAACAACCATGTCTTTATCATCTGCTTTTCCCCCCTCTATTAACAGCAGCCAGAGGTGCGAGTGATGCAGGAGTCTGTCCAGACCAGCAAGTCAAAGAGGCCGCTTCAGGAAATCTGGAAGCTAAAGAAAGAACTTGAGGATGAGACTCAGCGTCGGCAGGAGCTGGAATCGGAGATCAAAACCATCCAGAGTAACATTGTCCACCTGCAGAACCAGAAACCCCAAGAAACTGTGGTTAAGAAAGAACTGCTGAAGAAAGTGCCAGACCCTCAGCTGGATGAGAACTTACACAAAATGCAGCAAAGCCTGGCAGAAGAACAGCGCAAGAACCAGGTGCTACAGGATGAGCTGGAGACCCTGAAACTGAAGCTGCGAGCCCTAGAGTACGAGAGGAGGGAAGGAGGTAGAGAGTATGTGGTAAAGGAGGTGCTGCGTATTGAGCAGGACAAAGCACAAGCAGATGAAATCCTAAAGCTGAAAGAAGAGCTGGAGGAGCTTAGGAGGCAGGAGGGGACCAGAGAGAATGAGGTCACCCTCTTGCGCCAACAGATCTTTGTGTTGTCCAATGAGAAGAACACAGAGCAGGAGAAGGTGACTGAGAAGGAGGTGCTGAAGCTGCAGAATGACCCCCAGCTGGAGGCAGAATTCCAGATGCTGCAGGAGAACAAGCAGAGGGAGAGTACCCTGAGGCAGAAGCAAGAGGAAGAACTCAGCTTCCTGCAGGACAACCTAAGGCGGCTGGAGAAGGAGCGAGCCATTGTTGAGGGCCAGATCACAGTGAAGGAGGTGCTGAAGGTGGAGAAAGACCTCACTATGGAGAGGGAGGTGAACGAGCTGCGGCGCCAGTACGAAGATGAAAAGTCCAAGAACTGCTCCAATGAGAGGGAAAAGGCTGAGCTGCTCAGGAAGATCCAGGTCCTAGAGGAGGAAAATGCTAAGGTGGTCATCCAGGAGAAGGTGCGTGAAATTGTGCGCCCCGATCCCAAAGCTGAAAATGAAGTGGCCAACCTTCGCTTGGAGTTGGTGCAGCAAGAGAGGAAGTGCCGAGGCGGGGAGGAGCAGCTGAAGAGCTGCCAGACTGAGCTAGCCACTCTCAGAAACAGAGGACCCCAGGTGGAGGTGAAAGAAGTTATCAAGGAGGTCATTAAGTACAAGAATGATCCAGAGACTGAGAGGGAGCTGCAGAGACTCCGTGAGGAGATTATGGACAGGACGGGTGCAATTGAAAGAGCTGATTTGGAAATCTATCAGCTGAAGCAAGAGATTCAAGTCTTGAAAGACACCAAGCCTCAGGTGCAGATGAAGGAAGTGGTTCAAGAAATTCTCCAGTATCGGGAAGACCCCAAGACCAGGGAGGAGGTGGAGTTCCTGAGAGCTCAGCTAGCAGATGAGCAGAAAAAGCATATTGATCTGGAGAGGGAGCAGCTGCTTCAAGAGGAGAAGATCAGGCAGAAGGAGGAAGAGCTGTCACATGTGAGAGAGAAAGTGGTCCAGCAGGAGGTGGTGAAGTATGAACAAGACCCCAGCTTGCAAGCAGAGGTTAATTCCTTCTCTCAGAGCATCGAGAACGAGCTGATGCAGATCGACTGCCTGCGGGAGGAGATGCGTAAGCTGCAGCGAAGGAGATCTGAGCTGGAGCGCCAGCTGGAGGAACTTGAGAGAGAGAGGCAGGCCCGCAGAGAAGCTGAACTTGAGGTGCAAAGGCTGAAGATCAGGCTGAATGAGCTGGAGGAGCAGGAAAGGGAGACTACAGAGAGAGTGACTGTGAAGCAGAAAGTAATCCTTCAGCAAGACCCACAGCAGGAGAAGGAACACTCCCTCCTCAAGCTGGAGTTAGAGGAGGAGAAGCACCGAAGGCAAGTCCTGCAAGCAGAGTTGGAAGCCCTAAGCAAGAAGCTCCTCACACTGGAGAGGATGGAGGTCAAAGAAAAAGTGGTCTTTTCAGAGAGCGTTCAAGTGGACAGAGGGGACACTGAGTATGAGATTCAAAAGCTGAAGAGCAACCTGGAGGAGGAAAGCCGGCGTAAGAGGGAGCTGGATGCAGATATGAATCGGCTTGAGGCCTGGCTGTCTGAGGTGGAATTCAGCAACTCCAAGTCCTCGAAGGAACTAGACTTCTTGAGGGAGGAAAACCACAAGCTCCACCTAGAAAAGCAGAATCTGTTGATGGAAACCAAGAGGCTGCAGTCAGAGATTGAACTCACAGCAACAGAAGCTCGGGACTTAAGGAACATGACCCAGGTGGACAGTGGAGTGAATCTGGACTCCAGATTCCAGACCTTAGAGAGAGAACTGGAAGATCTGAAGAAGTTGTCCAAAGAAAAAGACACAGAAATTGAGCAGCTTCAGAATCGCCTTAAGACAGTAGCCATCAAGAGAGAGCAAAGAGAGAACCACCTGCGACGTTCTATTGTGGTCATTGACCCCGACACAGGCAAAGAGATGTCTCCAGAGGAAGCTCACAAACTTGGCCTCATTGAATGGAGCTTGTTTGTCAAGCTGAAGAGCCAGGAATGCGACTGGGAGGAGATCACTATCAAGGGGCCCAACGGAGAATCCTCTGTGATCCTCGACAGGAAGTCTGGCAAAGAATTCTCAATTGAGGATGCCTTAAAGAGCGGAAGGCTAACCATGGCTCAATATGATAGTTACCTCAACAAACAGATATCCATCCAGGAGCTGGCAGTCTTGGTGTCTGGAAGTAATTACAAAATGTTCCCTCCATTCTAATTAGAAAAACTTTTATTCAAGCAGCTTGGTGAGAGCTGCACAACTTATTACCACCCTAGACTGCTGCAAGTCATTGCCTCCCTTGCGTCTTCCAAATTACTAGAGCTTTCTTTTGCATGGTCCATCAGGAGGGTGCTATGAAGCCATACTGTTTGCTGTATTTGTTGCAGAAAAAGCATTTGTCAAAGTTATGCTTAACCATTCTTCCCCACCACTTTACCTGGGCACATACTCCCACAGAAAATGGGTAGAGTCAGATCAGCATCTCACATTCACAGTGTCCAATTGAAAACAGGTTGTCTGTTGGTATAATTCTTTGTGTGTGAAATCTGTACTTCTCCTCAGAGGATAAGAGGATAGATATGCAAGGAGCTGTATAAGAAGGAACAAGAAAAGGACTAGAGGTCGAGACTCAAGGAATGCCAGCAGAACATTTCAAGCAAAAATGTGCATTTGAAAATCTAAAGCCAGACACTTGCATTACATACATTTGACTAAACAATGGTATCTTTACCTGAGAAAAGCAGTTGAAAGCTCAAAAATGAAATTTGCATCTTAATTGTGTAGTCATTATGTTAACATCTAAATGGCTGCTTCTATTAAAACTTTGTTCACCTGAGTGCCTATAATGAGGAGGAACGGGGGACAACCCCCACCCCCAGCAGTTTGATGCAGTAAACCCTATATTGAAGGAGATATTCATAGAGATCGCCCAGAATCTTGTAAAGAGATATCAATGTTACAATAACCAAATGCAGAGATGCTTTCTAGAGACAGTTGTGCTTCCTTCATGGTTAAAAGCCATTCATGCCGGTATTTTACTGACTACAGTTGCATTCATTTATATGTATCGTTTATTTGTATAAGGGAATGGGAAATATAGGGAAATTCTATTTATAGCACAAAATAAAAATGTGGTGGTTTAAGCCAAGGGTTTACTTTTGCTTTTTTTAAATTGATAGTCTGTTTCTATATTGCTCTAAAAAAGGGAGGGGCTGTACCCAACACCTATGTTTTCTAAATATAAAACAAGAATATTCAAGTGTAGTACCTGTATCATTCAAGATGTTGGCTGAGTCTACTTGCAAGGAAGGCCTCCAGCTGATCCACACATTATCCTCACAGGTGAGTTCCAGGCAAGTTTGGTGTTTGGGTTAGTTTAGGAACTTCTGCCTCAATGCACAGCACCGGTATGAAAAAGGCCCCATGAGTGCTCAGTTTATCTATACAAGAGTTTTTCCCCATCTGTCAGTGCTACAGTCTGAGTTTGGGATCTGGAAGACAAGCTGGGCTCTTTCCACATCATGTATTAAAGATTCTACAGACCCAATTCTGCACTTACCAACACCCACAAGTGTCCAAGTGTACAGAGCATCATCTGTGCAGTCCCACTGCCTTCTATAAGCTGATACAGAGGTAATGTTCTGGAACCTGGCAAGCCGTTTTATTCATCTCTCTATAGCTATGTTGACTCCTCCAGGCTAACAGCTTACCTCACTGTCCATAACTCTCAGTGCATGTAGGATTCTCTCAATTTAGGGTGGTGCCATTCTACTAAAATTACATTTAGGTGCAAACCAGATTTTGAAAAAACTTGCCAATTAAAAGGGCATCAACCAAAATAGAAGCAATTATGTTACCAGGGGCTGGTATATGCAGAAAAAATGATCTTCTTGCTTGAAAACATACACATGATAAGGAAGGAGACTGAAACAAATTTTTTGGAAACTTTGAAACGATTTATTCAGTTGCTCTGTACAAGATTAACAGTTTTCACACCACCCCCATCATTGTCATCTAGACAGCCCCAACACACACAAAAAAAATAATAAAAATAAATTGCAGCTCTTACACCCAAAAGAAACTGCCATACTCAGTAAGTGCCATCAGGAGGCTCACCACTCTGCGAGAAAGAAAACAGCTAAACGTGCCTAGCCAAGGCAGATATCCCAGTCACTCTGCTCCCCATCAAGTGTGATCTCTCTCCATTGTCCTGCCTTGCCATGGCTGTTTAAATTCATTCACTCGTTCATTATAGCATGTAAAGAAAAAAAGAAAAATATCCCACAGAATTTCCACCGAATAAACATTTCCCTGAGGCAAGAGGCTTCACTAAATTCCTAAAATGAGGGCATTCAGCTCCAGTAGGGACACAGGAAGGTGCCTCCCAGCAGAAGCATTCAAGTGAAAGCAAAAAGAGGGAGTGGAACCAGTACCTCGGGTAGCTCATTAAGGGCCTGAGGCTTGCCAGGCATTGAACACACTTTCAGCTGCCACTCAAGAGGAGGTCCTGAATGGGAACCATGCGACATCCATTGCTCGGAGTCCATCAATAACTGCTGTGCTTTATCTTAACACAAATTCTGTCTTTGGCTCTTTTGCTACAACCTAGATTTTTTTTTTTTTTTTTGTAAACAAATTTGAAATTTGAGCTGCATTTTCTTCTAAAAATATAAACAATGAAGTGATCTGGAGAAGTCATTTATCAGTCTGAATTAAAGAGATGTATCTTGGGTCTTATTAAAAAAAGAGAAAACTTGGTTGAATGTTTGCTGGTTATATACTCTCAGTCAGCCTCCCTTCCAAAGCACCGGAGGAAGTCTGCAAGCTTTTAGTTTTAATACCATGTTTTTTTTAACATATAAGTGCTACTCTTTCTGAAGTTCAGATAACCAGACCATGTGGAGGTGGCCTGTAAGAAGGGAGATCACAACACTGCAACTACAATTCAATGGGGCTTACCATCTGAGGAACACAGACTGCCCTCAATCTATGCTAACATCCAAAGAGGATGCGCAAAGAGAGTGAGGTTAGCATACAGGTCTAAAGCTAGAACACCACACTCCCATGCTAGCCAGTTCCTCATTTCTGCAGCTCTGACAAGTCAAATGATTTTAGTGCAGAAGTCATCAAGGAGAACAATATCTACTGGAATTCATTTGATTATCAGCATCCTTAGTTCATTTAGATCACTCCCTCTGCCCACCAAAAAGATCATTACTGAAGACCCTAGTAAAGAATGGCTTTAGGGGAGGGTCTGGAACCCACTTGCACAAACTCAGATCAGGTAAGAACTGGTGCTCTTGCTGGATTTGGTACTGGACTTGCAGTAACCAAGTCACCATTTAAGTCTGGACAGTGCAGCTTTTGATGTGCAACCATAAAAAGCTCTATTAAATAAAACGGAATACATCTTAAATACAGAATGATTAAAAAAGGGTTGAGGAGCACGCAAAAAAGGGCTGAAATGTGTGTAGTTAGTCCATTCTTGCTCCACCATAAAAGGCACTGGAATTATGTCTTCCTATACACATGACATGCTGAGAAGTGTCCCATCCAATCCAATGCATTCGATGGTAATGAGGATAAAACTGAGCCAAAAGAAAAGCATCCCTTTGAAGGAAACAAAAATAAAAGATGTAGAATCATTTCAATGCTCATGAGTGCATCCAAAAAGTCTCTAAAGAGTCCTCATTCTCTTCCAGAGGGGAACATCAGGCAATTTGTTATATTTACCGTAGAGGAAGTGCTAGGTTCTCCTATTAGCTTTAGCACAGCTTCATAGTAGAACTGAAAAATTGGAGTCAATGTCTTCAGAAAGCACGGGCAGTGCTAGAGTTATCTAAGTAAATTCAAAGCAAGAAGAAGCACCTTTCACATACTCCACTGGGATCAAGGAGGTAATTGAACTTGGAGGTACTCTACACTGGTGCACCAATGGTGCTCAGCTTGTTGAAAGATGTGCCATCCTTGTTCCTCTGCAAGTTCTGGTGCCTGTCAGTGCCTGTGTGGTGTGAGGTGCAGCAGCACTGGAATGGTGCCACAGGCATTTCTCTCAAGGCAACCTATGCTAGGGTCCACCTTGCAAATCCCCTGGAGGCAAGTGCTGACAAGCTCTTTCCTCAGTTCAGTTCCTCCCATTGCCATGAGGAACACAGAAAGTGACAGAGTCAACACCCAGTGTTCCTGGTCTGCTCCTCGTGGGTTTGTCCTGTGCTGGTGCAAGCTCATTCCCTTCCAAGTGTCACAACTTCCGCTGTGGTGCGTTGGGCCCTTTGCCATGAAGCTGAGATGCATCTAAAAGAACAAAACAAGAGGGGTTTCAACGTCAACCTCAGGTCTCAACCGCCTGATGTTGTCTCACCCTGCACACAAAAAAGCTGTTCTGCATCTCAGCCCCCAAGAATCTGAGCTAGGAACTGGGCAAAACAAAACTAGCAAGAGCCCTTTATCCATAGTTAACAAATGTGAAATGGTATCAATCACCCAGACAATCTGGAAACACAGCACAGTTTGAGAGAGGCTGCAGATAAATTCAGATGGACTTTTATTACTGGCAGTTGGTTGTAATGACTGCTTTGGATGCTCCACACAAAGGAAATCAAAAGCAACTCAGGTGCATTACTTCAAGCTTAAACACCCAAGTATGGAAAGGAAAGAGCAGGAGGGAGCAAAACAAGAAATAAGGGCAAGAATAGTGAACAGTGACAAAGAAAGTTTAAGATGCAAAAGTTTCCAGGAAGGACTGAACTACTGTCTTGCTATAGGAGGGAATTGGTACATTTGAAACAGGTATAGACAGGCAGCCAGGGCCCTGGGCCAGGGTGAGTAACAGTTTGTTCTCTGCTGGCCACTCAGGCTCAAAAGGTGTAGCCCATTCTAGAGCTGACTCATGACATGGATAAGGTTAGAACCAACATGAGATAATGCATATGCACCTTCACAAGCAAACATGCTGGCAACAGGGAAACCCAATACTACACACCACCTGTTCACAGTTGCTTCTTGATAGCTTCAAACCAAAGCATGTCACACTTTCCAGAACTACCAGACATCCCATCACATGGTAGGCTATACAGCTTTCAGATGTTCATAGCTCTTTACACTGAAACACACTCCCAGGAAGCATTTCCTCCCCCTCCAATGGGCAGGAGATTTCTGGTTAGACTGTCATTCCTCTACATAAATTAATAGTTTGAAGCTAGAAGGAACCATTCTGATAGACTAATCCCTGGAATTTCACCCACAGAGAACTCCATCTAGCTTCTAACTTCTAGTTGAGCTGGAACACGACTTTATTGGAAGATGACAAGTGACAATGGCTTCACCACATCCTGAGGCAAGTTCCAATGGCTAATTCCCTTACTGTTTTGTTTTGTTTTTTTAAAAGCACCTTCTTTCTAGTTTTTTGTCCAGCTTCAGTTCTTGGCCACTGGATCTCATGTTGCAATTTCTCCTAAATTAAGGAACTTCTTCCACTATCAAGATGGTGTTTGCAGATTACATTCAAATTCCTTCTTTTTGCCCATGTTAGGCAGACAAGATCATGTCTTACCAGTAACACATTAGGTCCCATTTTCAGTCACTGTTTAGTTAAGAATACCTTGCTTCTTTAGAGGTGTTGTTTTACCAACACACCTGAGAGTAAATGGTTTTCAGTCCTCTGCTTCTAGGTCACAGTTTGTACCTAATCAGTAATTTTTGGTGGCCATGCTCTCTACTCCCCCACATCTTTCACTTTATAATATACTGACTAGAAAGAAATGGTATGCTTCTGCCAGGATGCAGGAGAAAGAGCTTGGAAGATGATCCTTTGGATTTTCCTATACCCCTAGTGTCTGCATTAGGGGAACACATTCCTTTACAGCAGATGCTAGAAGGCACTACTGTAATCACAAGCCTCATTAACTACAGAGGTTTGCTCACAAGGCAGTGTGCCCATGCTGCCTCACTCACCCACAAAATCTGCTCAAGAGAACCATAGCAGCAGCGCTGAATTGCATTACCTGCGTAATACAACAGACTGGACAAGAAAAGCAGGAGCAGGTGTAGGCGAGTTCTGAGTTGTACTAGCAGAGCAAGGTTTACTCAACACTTAAATCTAGGTTTCATGGACATTAAATGTATTCCCCCCACCACAACACCTTGTACAGAGCTGCTACGGTTACGTCTGCACGCACAAGTCACAGCAGCTTTTGCTCTAGACAGTGCTTCTCAACTTTGTTAGGCTCAAGGGCCCCTTTGGGAAATGCCAGTTCTTAGCTTCCACTCTTTTTTTGAATGCAGGAACCTAACAGTGCAAGTCTTCTGTTGCAAAGAGCTTAGAAAGACCATAACAGGGCACAGTAATTTTAACACTATGGATTCTCTGAGGTGATCTTGTAAATCAAGTTTGCGCACCTAAGAGCACTAGCATTGTGTGGCACCCCGTAACACCCCTGAAAGGAACTCAAGGTATGCCGGCCTACCCTGGCTGAGAATCACTGCCCTAGCAGTAACTCACTTGAGAGCCCACTGCAGAGTGCTGTAAAAGCACCCACATAATACAGTGCACACTAGGCTCTAGAAACAGTAGGAATATTCAGCTGTACCTCACAGATGTAGTGTGCTTTGTGCTGGTTCTGAAGGAACGCTATTAGGGTCACAACTAGTTTACTCACACAAATATCGAGTCATCAGTACATGGCAGTTGGCACTGCAAAGTTGGAAACTCACACTGCAAAGTTTCCAGTAGAATGTAAGTTTGCCTTGAAGGAAAGGCAGCCACCTAGTCAGATGCCTGAATGTAAGATTTCCTCTAAGACATCTAGGCCTAACACCTTATGTAGAGAACAAACAATCACCTATGCACCCAGTGCATTCAATCCTACTCAGTATCAACGGCCTACACAAAACCACCCAAAGCTATGAATACTCACAATGAGGCCACTTATCTTTGCACAAAGAACAGAGCTGAGTCCCTGGATAAAATGAGAAATGTCAAACACCATGTGTGAGAAGTCATCCCAGATGGAGGTATCAAACTCAAAGGACATTCAAGATTAATCCTAACCCTAAATCACATGAGGCTGGTGAAATGGAGCATCAGCAAGGACCATACCAATAAAGACAACACTGAAGTCAGGGGTACTTTCACCACAAAAGGAGCATGTGTTGAGACAGAGGGTGACTTCACAACGCAGAAGACAAACAAGACCATCTGACAAGTTACCTGGCAAACTTTGCGGTAAATGGGTGGACAGGGCAGAGTGTGGGAGTGGTGCTGCATGGTGCGGGCTGGAGTGCAAGCCAGCCAGAAGACCTAGAGAGAAAAACAAAAAGGAGGGGGGGGGG